TTGGAGGTTGCATTTTCGCAGGTATACCCCGCTCTTCATGCCCTCCCCACGACCTATTCTGTTCGGTCTGGCACAGCAAGTAGGGAACCCCTATTTGTCTACCCTTCTACATTAGAGGCAAGTGTGACAACTACCGCAACAAAATGTTGCTACATTCCTTCATTTCGTTATGACTGCATCCGCAAAGATCTATGTGATGGCTCACTGAGTGGGGCACGAACTCACTGACCGGGTGATTCGAACCACCTTTAGCATCTGGACTGCTCCTATCAAAGCTCGGCCAACGTGGCGATACCTCATAACTCGTGCTTCAATTGTGGTGCATGGCAGCTCGACACGTAAGTGGTGTCACAGCTGGCCAATCACTTTCATTTTATTATATAGCATTTCAAAAGACGGTGCATAATTATCAGGAGAGCTCGAGGGACAGCGCTGTATTCATCCTGACTGAATGACTCGGCACCCCAACCAGAGAACTTGCAAAGGCGAACCACAAAAGCCTACCAGGAGTCAATGATATACCTTTGGCAAACAGAGAGCCACTTACCGGCTGTAGCCGGGTTAGGAAAACGAAGGTGAGACTCATCCAGTTCAGTTCATCAGTACTAAAACGCCACGCACCGAAGGCTATGACCGAAATCAAAACCATTGTCTGTTGGCCTGGACTAAATTCATCAGTGCTACTAACTAGTCCTACTGAGTCACCTGATCTTTAAACAAGGTTCCAGCTTTTCACCAAACTGTTTACTGGTTAAGGCTATCATACTTTGTTGCTGAGTCAAATATGGGTCCTTTCGTCCGAAAGTCCTGTGCAGAATAGGGAGGAAATAAATGAACTGATCATTATAGTCTATTATGCAAGTAGCATCATCACAGTCCCTCCCGAATTTCGTATGTGACACTCCCACCAGATCTGGGCAACGCACCACGAAACCCAGAAGCCAAATGTGACAGGAGCTACTGTGGTTAACGTTGATGGATAGCGCAGGAACTAGACCAATGGAAACTTACTTCAAATTCACCCAAAAATTGGGCAACACCGGTATAGGGTAATTTTCGATGATGCGCATGTTTTTCGATCGGTGGGAGAAAAGGTACGGGGTCGCGGGGCGCGAAGAGTGCTAACAGATTAGGCGGCAGAAACTGCGTCATCAGACGTATTTGAACTGGATAAGTGCGCGCCTAAAAACTTTTCACGCAGTAAAACAAGATACTTCATGTACGTTTCCTGCCGAAGAATTGAGATCATACAAAATGTGCAGTTCGGTGAGAGACTATCCAGTAAAGAAGACACATTGACGGAAGTCCAAATATCTAAGTTAGTAGAATGATTGTTGCTTCAAGAGGCTTTTGTTAACGAAAAATACCGACAAAGAATTGGTTTTTCGTAACCTTTCTATTTTTTGAGCCATAATTTGTCGTTTTTGGGGGTTTTCTACGAACGACGGGCCATTGGCTTCGAGGTGGTCCGGGTTTTGTGCAGGCCTTCATCATAGACATCAGTTGGCCAATGGGGTTTGTCTGATCCCTTTCCCAGAACTCCGGGGCGACAGTCTTCAATCTGCGGGGCGTTCGACAGTTGGCTTCGATGCCACGTGGTTCTTCGTTTGTTAGGTGCTACTCTCCATCTTATGCAAAGCACCGGTTGGACAATGGGGCCAAATGAGTTTAAATCATCTGTTTCAAGCCGCCCGGCCATATCGAGGTCAATATGTGTAAATATATGACAGAACCAACGAAGCTGTGCACGTCAAAGGTGTTTATCGACCCAACAATGTCGGATCAGCGGATTATCATTAACGTCAGTGGTCTGCGTTTTGAAACACAGAAGACTACGTTGAACCGCTTTCCAAACACATTACTGGGATGTCCTCACAGAAGAAACCGGTACTATGATGCACTACGCAATGAGTACTTCTTCGATCGTAATAGACCCAGTTTCGACGCAATTTTGTATTTTTATCAAAGTGGTGGACGTCTCCGAAGACCAGTAAATGTGCCGATTGATGTTTTCACGGAAGAGATCAAATTTTACGATCTGGGTGAGGATGCCTTTGAGAAGTATCGAGAGGACGAGGGCTTTATCAAAGAGGAAGTGCATATCCTCCCAAAAAACGAGTTTCAGCGAAAAGTTTGGCTACTGTTCGAGTATCCTGAGAGCTCTACCGCGGCAAGGTTTATTGCAATTGTCTCTGTGACAGTTATCGTGATATCAATAATAATTTTTTGTGTTGAAACCCTTCCGAATTTCCGTCAGTATGAACTGCGTTATACGGAGAATGTCGACACACCTGAAATTGTGCTAGTTGACACACCAGATACTTCCGGAGCATGTTTTGTCATGGAATCTTTATGCATCATTTGGTATACCTTTGAGTTACTTGTCAGGTTTGCATCCTGTCCACAAAAGTTTGCTTTTTTTCGGCAAATCATGAACCTCATAGACATAGTGTCCATCATCCCATACGCTATTACAGTAGGAACAGTTGTGGTGGAGAATACGAAAGCACAAAATCAGGCGATGTCTCTGTCAATCTTGAGGGTCATTCGACTAGTCCGAGTTTTCCGAATATTCAAATTGTCTAGACATTCAAAGGGGTTGCAAGTTCTTGGTCAGACACTGCGGGCCAGTTTCCGTGAGCTTGGACTACTCTCATTTTTCCTTTTCGTATGTGTTGTGCTCTTCTCTGCGGCAGTTTACTATGCAGAGTTCGATTCAACCGAACAACAATTTCCAAGTATTATTGACGGTTTCTGGTGGGCAGTTGTGACAATGACGACGGTAGGTTACGGAGATATGCGACCCGTTACCATGTGGGGAAAAATTGTCGGATCTATGTGTGCCATAGCTGGTGTTTTAACTATTGCTCTACCGGTACCAGTTATTGTGTCGAACTTTAACTATTTCTATCACCGCGAATCAGAGACGGAGGATAAATCTGTGTACATCCATGTATCAAATTATAACAAGGGACTCAGTTCATCGGAAGAAGATTCAGCACCACATGACAGCGATGCCAAATTCACCGAAGCGTGCCTCCCCAGAAGCCCATTTAAAAACAAATCTTGTAAAGAGCCCACAGATGAGAATATTGCCCCTCAGTCGGGCGGAAAGAAACGCAAACCAGTAGCAGTATTATCCTGTATCGAGGCGCCCGATGCTTCTTCATTTGATGGGACGGATGCCTCAAGTGAGAAGGCTCCACAGAAAGTTACGACTCGGTCTACAGGAAATCTAGAGTCTCTTTCCTACAGACATCATCATCAGGAATTCCAAGAAGTAATGCAACAACATGAGCTGCAGGCTCAGCGATTCAAAGATATTTACCCACAGCAAAATTATGCGGCACAGGCCAAAAGAGCTTCCATTCAGAACACGACATATGTTGTCGCAGAGCCGGACCGCAAAGACACTTCGCACTCTTCCGTACAATGAATACAGAGAACGCTGAAGGAATTTTGCAACACTAGTTCCAGCCCATCTATCACTAACTGTGGCATGGATGACGCCAGAGAGACACAAGTTACGCTACTCGTCTGGACACTTTTGATCGTGTACACTGAGAACAACCCACTCCCGTACGGTTTGTGAAGTACAGATGTATTATACTGTATTATGTATACAATCATAGATTTAATAAGACCAACTATGTATGTCGCCTTGACCAGAAACATTGGGTGATTTGTTTAGATGAAATCTAATATTTTGTGACGGTGAGTAATTGGTATGCTTTGAAAAGCTGCATATACAGACGGTCGCAGTATTCGCAGTGATTGTGAAGTCTGGGAAAGTCATTTTATTGATCGTCACTAGCAGCTCGGTTTGTCTGGAACGAACACAATTGGTTGCTGTCTAACGAATAACAGAAATGATTACTACTTTGTTTGGTTTGTCGTCACCGAAGGCGATTCATAAAAAAACCCGTCAACATGCCTTTTGTGGTCCTATTGGAATTGCAGTTAGAGCCCCAGCAGTTCAGTTAGCTTTGGACAAAATGAGTAGAAGTCACTTACCAAATTATCAATGCCTATAGTTCGTTCATCTTCACTTACGTTCAATTTGGGGTGGCAAGAATTCTGGAAACCACCCTTGTAACCAGCCGCAGAAGATTGATTTCAACAATTGACTCTCCAAGGTTTTTTTTTCATCTGCAAGGGCGTTGTTTCGTATACAATATGATGGATTTAATACCTGGTATTATGAATATTCCTAAAGCACTCAAGTTAAATGAGCTCATCAAATGAGGATCTCTAATAAAAGTGAAACTCGAGTCCAGTGCTTCGTTTTGGTGTGGACTCACTGGAATAATTACGTCAGATTAGAAATGCAACTGTTCAAACGACAGTGGTGTATGATCAATTAAATAATTTGTCACTGCTCTATTTCTTAGTTGTGTATATAGGTTGAGCCACCTTATGACATGACCTGCGATTTACGTATGGGAAGAAGTGTGAACTAAATGCGACCACTGCCCTCATCTTTCTCTACCAAGTTTGTTACTAAATATCTTAATGTCTGATTTCATTTGTTATCCTCAACAGTAGTCCTGTTTAAATGTTCCGGTAAAAATTTGCAATTCTTACTTTTGAGCATGTAGTGAAGAAGCCGTATTTGGGTGCCCAATACAGCACTGAAAACACGACTGTCGGTATTCGAATACAGAACACACTAATTTTAGTAGGATGGTGTCTCAAACTTGACCAAAGAGCCAAATCAAGTGAAAATACGTACCGACATTTAACGGAGGTGTTTATAACGCCAAATGGTTGAAGTGAGGTAGTCATATTTTAGTGAAAGATACGAGTGGTCCCTTAGGATTCCCGCTTACTCTTTTCTTGTCGTACGCCAAGTGCAACCATCGTGGTTGTTAGCTGTGTTCATAGGCTATCTGGGTTTGTCTGTTTCACTCAATTATGGCTAAGAAGCACTATGGATTCCTCCATCCTGTCTTTCTGGCACAAATGAACTGTTCGCCGTTGATGATTCAGTGCCAGATGGATTTAGGATAGTGACTTGATGGAATTCACAACAAAGTATTTTGTCGAAGCAGACAAACCCTAGAAGAGGTGAGTACTGTGGGAACATGCGGTTTCATTCTGCCCACGCGGCAGAGTCCGTTATTCTTGGGATGCTTTGATTGGGCCATAACCTGAATTTTGTTTTAGGCCTACTGGAGTTGTGGAACCGTTTCTTATTTTGTAACATTAAACAAGAAGTCGACGGAGTCCGCTTTAGCTAAAAAAGCTGGGCAAGCATCCGGATGAGCCCAGTTTCAACTCACAGAAAAAACCAGTCAGCGAGATTATTCTCTACTAGCGTACTGAGTAACTAGTGAGCACCTGCTAGAGTTTCTCGGGGTGCAGATGACCAAGTTGAAGAGGAATCAATTCAGATCGCGTTTACAGTCTTGCTCTTCTTGTCCGGGGCTCTCCTTTGGGTGCCATTCACCAGTCTTGTTGATTTGTGTGAATCATTAAGTACTGTGACAGTGTGGCGTGGTGGTTCAAAAGAATTACGTAGAAACCAGTCTTATTGTAGTGGGTATTTCATCTCTCACATAAACGGACGTACAACTATCCCGGCTAGGTTAGCTTCTGGTTAACTTTCACTGATAGGCAATTCACTGGACTCAGATTCCGCTTTGTTTAAAACACATCAGCAGGATGTTTCCTTGGCCGTGTTGCAAGCTCGACCTCGGGCATCTGACATGGGAGGCGACTGCACGCTGTTTTCACCTGTATTGACATGTATGCTAAGTCAAACGTGACCTTGACTGAGAAATGTGACTAGTTTTCTCCAACGCTTCAAGTGACGATGCAGTGATTGTTCCGGTTGTATCGATCGACTGACTCACTCAACAGAAGCCTTCATTTAGGTAGTGCTACGGATGCTTGAAACCTGCTGAAAAGCATGACTGCTCTAGAGCCGCTATCCTAGATCTAAAACATTTGTGTTGATAAGGCCTGATCACTGATAGCCAAACTCCAACCCTGTGTTAAATCGCCTGCCACATCCTCGCCAGCTCTACGCCCTCATTCGATTCACATTCAAATGAGAGGAAGAAGGCCTTCGCTGCGGAATTATTTATTGGGAAATACCAACTGAAAAGTTACATACTTCTGAACAGGGAAGCGAAACTCTCATATGCATCTTGTTTACAAAAACTGAATATCCGACTTCTCCCTGAATGCGTCTTCTTGGACTTTCCTGGATATTCAATGACCGTTGCTCAAATCCAAGCAAATGCGACTCCATAGGTTCCGAAATAGATCTCACTCTTCAAGAGACGCAAAGCGGATTTACGAGAAAACATACTACTCTCATGCATAATGGTTTCCATCACCTCGATTATCAGATATCGCTGAGTGTGCTCCAGTTTTTGCTTGGTCATTGCTGTATGTTTCTGTGTCCAGTGTCCACTCTACACACTAGGAAGTAGATTTTCCCACTGAACTACGGCAGTCAGCACAAACAAAGGCCACTTACAGAGAGCAGTGGTTTCGGTTAGACGGACACTCTCTTGATGGAAAATACTTCCTCCCAGCCTATCAGTAAATAAGAAGAAGTACATCAAACTTTGTTCCAAAAGTACAATAATAGACCGAGGATGGTACATTAGTATTCCGTTCAGTCTGGTGGAGATCGATCAAATCTTGAGATCGTCTATGATTGTGTTCGCTCTGCTAACTAACTTTGAGAATTCTCGCTTGCATCCCTGGTTCAAAAAGCAACTCTTTGAAATCTTCCCTGAACATCTAACGAATTTCCGAGTTGTTTTGTGGACTTATATAATAGTGCCACACCCAGCAACGGGAAACTCGAGAAACCAACAACAGTACCACATGCACACACACGATAAGCTTACGGGTGATTGATAACAATTATGAGGAGAAATTAAACGATTTAAAGGTTTTACCATAGTTTCTTTCTTGCTCTGTTTAGCTTCCAACATGGCTTTTGCAGCGACAGCGATGTCCAAAATGACCTGAATGAATCTTAGATTATTCGACCACAATTATCCCCGTCCGCTTTCATTGGTGACGCCTTGCAGAGTCGGTGCATCAACGCTCTCCGGTGTTGCTGGAGCAGCAGTTGCACTCTCTATCGCAGACCTGATAAACCTAGGCCTCGGTGACTGTTTCCAGTGCGATGTGACCAATGTGAAACAAGGAACAGCCACTCTTGACCGCCTATCATGCTCTATGAGACAAAGATGCTGTCTGACTTGTTATTCCGAACTGTTCGTGACATTCGTGAAGGAATGAGCGCCTGAAGGCGTCAGAGGGCATCTTTCAGTCAGTACCAATACAAATGATCATTTTCGGTGATGAAACACATTAACATCTTTTTTCTGGATCGAGCGCACTAGTGAAACATGAGGCGGCCTTTATGCAGCACATTCGTTTGAAGAATAACATAAACGAGTGGTTGAACCGAGATTCATTTGAGTCTCCTGGTGAACTCCTATTCGATAACATCTTGTAAAATTTGTCAGCTTTACATCCTGTCAGAAAGAGAAGTTTCTACCCTTCTGAACCATAGAATAGCATGACGATAGTTGGGCATGAGCCGAGGCTATTGCTTGGAATATGACGAGCTACTGATTTGATAGACTGTTCATATCGTCCAGCTGTAGCACACTTTCGGTGTCATGGCAAGGGGCGTTATTAAAGAGTTTGTGCTAGATCTTGTTAAACAACATTGAAATGTTTGACTGAAGGATAAATGTGCGGGATCATACAGTCTTTATTTGTTCCAAATTCATATCGTGTACAGAAGTTGAGCTTATCAAGGCTAACGGTGGCGAAACACAGCGGCAGAAATTTGAATCCACTGCAAATACCGGCTGGCGTTAGTGTGAAGAGGTTGGGTAATTTTCAGTTGAGAGTGAAGCTAACTTATGCTATTTCATTCCTGTTGGGAATCATTAGCGGTACGTATTAAAAAAACTCCAGAGAGTTTCACACTGCTAAGGCTTCTGAGTCCGCACTAAAACTACCAGTTGTAATTTGTGAACCCAAAACCAACGGAAAGCACCATTCATATATATTGGTTCACGAAATACAGGTTTGTTGTAAGGTGATTTCTTATTTTTCGTGACAGCCTTCATATGCAGATTAGCCTTCGTGACCGTTATAGAAAGATCGTTGCAAAAGAGTTAGGGAGACACTAGGGCCGCATTCATAAAAGCAGTCTTGTTTTTTAACTGTTAGTTAAGTATTTGATCAAGAGCACCGATTTCCACAAATTCGACACGTAATAATTCACTCAAACCATTCTAAGCCACATTCCTAAATCAGGTGGATTTGGCAACAAACGTAGTGTTCACGTATTCACATCACACATTATCTGACACGTTTCAAGCTTCTGTGGCGCTATCTGACTTCAAATTTCTGACGTCTTGGTCAGTCAATAGACAAAAGCAGTTATTTGAT